GGGGGGGGGGGGGGGGGGGGGGGGGGGGGGGGGGGGGGGGGGGGGGGGGGGGGGGGGGGGGGGGGGGGGGGGGGGGGGGGGGGGGGGGGGGGGGGGGGGGGGGGGGGGGGGGGGGGGGGGGGGGTTCAATAGTATATTACTTTTTTTTATTTTTTTATTTTTTAATTAATTTCCGTGGGGGAAGAAAAGAAGAAATTTCCTTTTTTGGCATCAGCTTTATTTCTTTTTTTATTTATTTATTTATTCATGGAAACGATAAATAATGAAAAAGACTTGCTGGGTGTTAGTTATTATTGCAGCCAGAAAGATGATGATCATCTGGAAGCATGCTCACTTCATCAAAATTGATCCTGGCCGTTGAAGTTGTTACGTGGGGTCGAGGGGGTACAGGATAAGGGGAAGCCTGAAGCAGAAACTCCCAATGCTTGGATTAAAATATTGTTATCATATCTTATCTTTGCCCGCAAGGAGATATTAAAATTCTTTTTTCTTTTTTTAATTTTTTTAATCAAAATCTTGCACCACATCGATCCAAGGGTATTGAGATGAAATGGCCCACCAAATTAACGATTACCATCTCTCCACCGTTTTGTACATACTTTTCAACGCAAAACTTCTTAAATTATTAATTAAAAATAAAACGGTATTGTATGAAAAAGAGTCAAAATAATTTGTGAAATGAAAGAAAATAAATATTCCGAATAGGTAAAACAAACGGTAAAAACTGTTTTTTTTTTTAACGTGACACGTGGCAATAAATGATTGGGAACATGGCTGGACGGCAAAAGCTGGTGCAGTCCTAGTAGCACCCAAGATTTACTCTTTGTTGGGGCAGTCCAAAGGAGAAAAAAAGAAAAGGTTCTGTATTTATTTTATTATTGTATTATTATTTTTTGGAAGAACCGAAGAGCCCCCACGCCACATGGTAATTGTCAGAAATCTCACAGGTGGAGCAAGTTCAAAGTTTTTACACTTGGCGGTGTGGAGCCTGAGCCGTTTGATGCCCCGGCGGTGAGTACGTGGCTAGAATCAAGGGCGAACTAACTGGGAGAAGAATACTGATTTGATTCAATACGTCATCGGTTGAATTTGAAGGAAGGAAGGTGCTGCTATAGGCCGAAAATAGTCTCACACTGTTCGAGGCAGATCAGGATCAGGTTCTGAAGCCTACCTGCCTAATGTGGAGGTGGAAGTCCTCTATATTTTTTTAGTATGATATTGTTTTTGGGAGGAAGTGATACTAATCCTGAGTTTATAAATAAGAAATAATCTCTATTCATAAAGTTTTTGGAGAAATAAAAAAAGTCATAAAAATTTATGTTCAAAATAGACAAATATCTTACCATTATGGAGAGCCGTGGTTTCTAACATAAAGCTGTGTCCTTTAACTTAGCAATGTCTATAGAATCCTGAAATGTCAAAAAAAGAAATTGTGAGTCTCGAAAGGTGTAGTCAAAAGTGATTAAGTGTCAAACAAATGATATACTTTATTCTAGAGCTCTAGAGAAGGAGTCGAGTTTCAATTAAAGAGAGACTGTCTGAAGACTCCATAGACCTCAGAGGAGGCTCTATGGTACACTTTGTTCGAGGAAAGGATTGTTGAGAGTCTCACATTAGCTAATTAAGAAAGTGATCATAGGTTTATAAGTAAGAAATACATCTTCATTGGTATGAGGCCTTTTGGAGAAACCAAAAGCAAAGTCACGAGATCTTATGTTCAAAGTTGACGACACCATACCATTGTAAAGTGATCGTGATTCCTAACACTCCGAACGAACTCTTTAAAATAAACCTGAAAAAGATCAAAATTTGAGAAGGAATGGTGGTGGGAAGAGTTGTTGGTTTTCCTAGTACTTGAGATGGAAAAGGCCAACACGTACCAGAAGCAAATATGGAGGAGGCCATTTTCAGCAGACAAGGGAAAGAATGGAAGCTTGGGGTCAGTTCATTGATAGGAAAAAACATGCATTATTATCGCCAAGTTTAAATTTTGAAACAAGAAAAGGGCGCTAGTGTTGCAGCCGCCAAGAATTACTCTGTAGGAGATGGTACATAAGTATCCTCCTGTCTTTTAATCTGGCACAATCATTTAACATTAACTCACTCAAAAGCTACAGAATTCTCTGGCACCAACATTTTGATTTGGTGCCCAGATCAAGGAAATCAATCACTCTGTATGTCACAAACAGAGGAGGATAATAAATTATAATATCATTTGTAAAGGTGTGTGGAGCACATACATAAAATGTGAATAAAGAGATATGTTCCGCAGCAGAAGATGTTCTTTTAGATAAAAAAAGAATCCAATGGTAGAGAGAGAGAAAGAGAAACCGAACCTTTGTTACTGAGTTTCTTTCCGCTGCTTACACCACCTTATCTTTTCTTCCCCACTCAGCACATTAATAGTTCTTGTTAATAAGATATGATATGTTAAAATAATAGAACTGAACAGAACAGAACAGACCCACAAAATTATAACAAAGAGACAAAGAGTGGAGATGGTCCCCCTGAGATCTCAACTTCAACTCTCTTTTCTTTACATTATAATCATCATCGCATTCAACTTTGGACGGGTTGGGGTTATTTTGCACGAATCATTCCATCAAAGGG